GCCCCGACCTCTTGCGGCTCCAACAGGGGGCGTGGGTGTCTGATTATCGGACCTAATTGTGTGTGTCCTCACCATATGTGAGAGAATAGAAAGACAAGAGTTTAGAATTTTGAAGTCAACAAATGCGCACGATAAGGAATCAAAGAAGTGAACATTTTTCCTAACAGTTTCATAGCCTCCCGAAGATAAGTACAGACGTCTCCGTACCGATCTACAAGACTCTACTAAACCTGCTTGTGACTCGTACGCACTCGTCACCTTGCGTACACGGAGCTCACATATCACAAAATGTTACAACAATATCAAATCCTATGGGGATTTCCCCCACACAGGGTTGGACAAGCTACTTACCTCGAACCACGCTCAATATGTCAAGTAGTATACCTTTTCCTCGATTTTCTGACTCCGATCGGCTCGAATCTAGTCACAATTAATTCGATTCAGTCAACACAAATTATAGGAATTAATTTCATATGAAAATACATAATTTTCAACAAAATTCAAAATTTAACTCAAAAATGACCGTGGGGTGCACGTCTCGAAACCCGATAAAAGTTACAAAATATGAACGCACATTCAACCACGAGTCCAACCATATAAATTTTACCAAATTCCGACATCATCTCGACCCTCAAATCTTCAATTTAAACCAAGAAGATTTTCTAAATCTTCCAACTTAATTCACCAATTAAATGTTAAAAACAACCATGGATTCGGGTAATTTGACCAAAATTGAGTTAAGAACACTTAACCTGTTATTTTCCTTGAAAATCTCCCGAATATCGCCTCTTCCCGAGCTCCATATCGCTAAAAATGGAAAATGGGAGAACTTAAACTTTCTGTCTAGGCATTCCTTCTTCGCGAACGCGACCCTTGCCTCGCGTTCGCGAAGCACAAAAATGTGCTGTCCAAACTTTCCTCTTCGAGAACGCGATGACCAGGGATCCCATGCCTTAGTGAAAGCGACGCCTCACTCGCGAATGCGTAGGCCAACACGTGAAGTCCACCCCAACCCTCACTCTTCTTCGCGAACGCGACTCCTCTCTCGCGTTCGCGATGCACACTGGCCCTCACCCTTCGTGAACGCGTCCACTGCTTCGCGAAAGCGAAAAACTAATCTTCGCCTTTCTCCAATTGTTCTTCGCGAACGTGAAGAAGGAAACCAGGCACCAAAAATTTGCAGCTTCAGCCATCTTCCAAGTCCAAATTTCATCCGTTAACCATCCGAAACTCACCCGAGGCCCCCGGGACCTCAACAAATTATACCAACAAGTCCTAAAACATCATACGAACTTAGTCGAAACCTCAAATCACATCAAACAACGCTAAAACCACGAATCACACCCCAATTCAAGCCTAATGGAACTAGGAAATTCTAATTTTTACATTCGACGCCGAAACCTATCAAATCAAGTCCGATTGACCTCAAATTTTGCACACAAGTCATAAAATGACATAAGAGAGGTATTTCAATTTTCAGAATCGGATTCCGGCCCCGATATCAAAAAGTCAACTCCCATGTCAAACTTCCAAACTTAAATTTCTATTTTAGCCATTTCAAACCTAATTTAACTACGGACTTCCAAATAATTTTTCAGACATGCTTGTAAGTCCAAAATTATCATACGGAGCTATTGGAACCATCAAAATTTTATTCCGGGGTCGTTTATACATAAGCCAACATTCGATCAACCTTTTCAACTTAAGTTTTCATTTTGGAGACAAGTGTCTCAATTCATTTCAAAACCTCACCGGACCCGAACCAATTACCCCGGCAAGTCTCATAACAACTGTAAAGTACAAATTGAGCAGTAAATGGGGGGACAGGGTTGTAATACTCAAAATGACCGGCCGGGTCGTTATAAGTACAAAGTAAAAAAACGCTCAAATATCTCATAATGCTCAACCTTCACACTCTCCTAACAAACGCCATGTCCTCAGACATTTGAAGCTGCGGCATGGAATCCTATCAAGGGCCAAGAGTAAGATAGTGAGAGACAAAAGAAATAAGTTTTGAGCGTAGCAAGAAGCCAAAAAAATTTCCCTCTTGCTGTAACAGGGGAAATGTGGTATCGTGTCCAAAAACCAATCTTCAAAATCAAAAGACTGCAATGGCTCGTTTTTTCACCATACTGTGGCATTCAATTCGCTTCATTCCCCACTGTTTCTTTCTGCAACTCAACATCAAAGAGCATTTACTCTCTCATTTACTGCTCCCCAATACTCACTGCACTCGAAATACAGTGACACCCACATGCTCTTCTTCATGCCTCAATACTCAAAAAACTCATTTCTTTTTTCTATTACTTCTCTTTCTATCTATTTTCCATTTTCTTCTTATTATTATTATGATATTTAGTTATTTTATAAATGTATATATAGAGACCGCAACATGGGCTAGAATGCTATTCTATTTCTTCTTATCTCCACGGATTTTCTGGTCCATTGTTGGCTTTCAGAATCCGAAAATAAGGTGACAAAACGCGGCTTCCAAACCAACTTTTCAAATTATGGGCTGAATATATTAAAGGGTGTGAAGCAAAACTCAAATAACTCTTATTATCTCACAGTTGGTTAGCTCTTTTTGTGTACTCGCATTATGAAGGCTTTTGTTGGGTTCTCTGTTTTGTTCTTGACAATGGTGACTGCTTTGGTTTGCTTTGTTTCCTATGGCAAAGAAGGCACATCATCGAGTACTGGTAAACATTACATTTTAGCTTAACATCTGTCATATTTATGTGCCATTAACTCGTTTATTTGAATTATTTTTTAACTTAACTTCTTAATATGCTTTGTTAAATGCCTGCTTTCTTAATAGCGTTTGGATGATATAGATTTGGTTGAAATTTGAAAAAATAGTTTTTGAATTAGTTTTGAAAAATAATTTTGGAAGTTAGAAGTTGTGTTTAGACATGCATTTTATTTGAAAAAAATTTGAAGTTACATGAATGGAAGAAAAAAATTTCACCCAAAAATTACTTTAAACTAGATTTTGAGAATTTGAAAAGGAATTTTAATTTTTTTTTAAAAACTGATCATAAACTTTGAACAATGTTTTCAAAAATATTTTGAAAAAAAGTTGCCAAAATCTATGGCCAAACGGGAGCAAGTGTTAACGGAAGAGATCATTTTGCAAATCCTTTGATCTATAGCATAGCTTTACGCTGTCCGTCTTTTTCCTGTATTTAAGAAATATGTACGATCGGAGAAGGGGTGGGGGTAAAAGGTCGCCCACAAAGTTTTAGGCGGGTAAAATGATTTTTCGAGACAAGTTTGAGAGGTAAAACATGTATTTTCCGTATTTAAACTTTTACCTAAATCCATCTTTCGAACTATATAGGGTCTAACCTATTGAAAGATTATGAGTTACAACTTGAGTGACTAACATTACATATTCACATCGTAATCACTCTTCGAGCTAGTTTTCTATGTTAGGAACTATACAAAAAATGAGTTTAAGTTTTGTGCATTGACAATGTACAAAATTAGGTTAATAGTGTAAATTTACTACTTATATTGCTACGTTCATCAATCACAACATTCAATTGAGACTATTTCTTATTATAAGAAATTTGAGAGAGCAATTAATAATTGAATAACTACTAATAGAGTGACAATATTGCTTACATGGAAAGCTATTTAACTGCCTATAAGGTGCTGAGTCTAGGTTATTGATAGCTTAGCAAATTCTGCAGTAGAGTTTATTGCTTTGGTTGGTTATTTTCGCTAATCTAGCTCTAGAGTCAAATTGAGCTAGTTGTACATATTGCTTACTTGGTTGAATAAGATTGACTATAATTTTTTTTACATTATCAACAACCCAGTATAATCCCACAAGTAGGGTCTGGGGAGGGTAGAGTGTACGCAGACCTTACCCCTACCCCAGAGGGGTAGAGAGGCTGTTTTCGAAAGACCCTCGGCTCGAGAAGAAGAAAAATAAACAATAGACAATAGGTCAGTGACAGCAATAAAAGATAATAAATATTAACAGTATCGTAAGAAATAGAAAAATAGATGTAAAAGCAATAACTATAAACAACAATACTGCTATAGAAAATAGTGAGGAAACTACATAAACCACTAACAACCCACAGCGAAACAACAACAGGCCAGCCCCGCCCCCGGAACAACCCTAATGCTCGACCTCCACCCCTCCTATCCAGAGCCATGTCCTCGGAGATCTGAAGTCGCGCCATGTCTTGCCTGATCACCTCACCCCAATACTTCTTAGGTCGTCCTCTACCTCTCCTCATACCTGCCAATGCTAACATCTCACCACCTCCTAACCGGGGCATCTATGCTTCTCCTCCTCACATGCCCAAACCATCTAAGCCTCGCTTCCCGCATCTTGTCGTCCATGGGAGCCACACCCACCTTCTCCCGAATATCTACATTCCTAATCTTATCCAGCCCAGTGTGCCCGCGCATCCATCTCAACATCCTCATTTCTGCCACTTTCATCTTCTGGGTATGGGAATTCTTGGTTGTCCAACACTTATCCCCATACAACATGACCGATCTAACCACCGCTCTATAGAATTTGCCTTTGAGTTTCGGTGGCACTTTCTTGTCACACAGGACTCCAGATCCTAACCTTCATTACATCCACCCCACTCCTATACGGTGTGTGACATCCTCGTCTATCTCCCCATCCCCCTGAATAATTGATCCAAGGTTCTTGAAACTCCCTCTCTTAGGGATGACTTGAGAGTCAAGCCTCACATCCATGTCCGCTTCTCCCGACTCATCGCTGAACTTACACTCCAGTTATTCTGTCTTAGTCCTACTCAACTTGAAACCTTTAACCTCAAGGGTCTGTCTCCAAATCTTCAGCCTCTCATTAACGCCCCTTCGCGTCTCATCAATCAGTACTATATCATCAGCGAACAACATACACCATGGCACCTCCCTTTGAATATGGTGTGTTAGCACATTCATCACCAGAGCAAATAAGAACGGGCTGAGCGCAGACGCTTGGTGCAACCCCATAACAACCGAAAAGTGCTCCGAGTCACCTCTCACAGTCCTAACCAGAGTCTTAGCTCCCTCATACATGTCCTTTAATACCCTAATGTAAGCTACCGGCACACCTTTCCCCTCCAGGCATCTCCAAAGAATCTCCCTAGGAACTTTGTCATACACTTTCTCTAGGTCAATAAACACCATGTGCAAATCCTTTTTCGTATCCCTGTACTGTTTCACCAACCTCCTGATAAGGTGGACAACTTCCGTTGTGAACCGACCCGGCATGAATCTGAATTGGTTGTCGGATATAGACATTGCCTTCCTCACCCTTCCTTCCACCACCCTCTCCCAAACTTTCATGGTATGACTTAATAACTTGATGCCCCTATAGTTGTTATAATTCTGGATGTCACATTTGTTCTTGAACAGCGGTATCATTGTACTCCACCTCCATTCATCTGGCATCCTATTCGTCCTGAAAATAACATTAAATAGCGCAGTCAACCATTCTAAGCCTGTTCTATCCACACACCTCCACAATTTCACCAGAATTTCGTCTGGCCCGGTCGTTCGGCCCCTACTCATCTTGTGCATAGCTCCCACGACCTCCTCAACCTTAATACGCCAACAATACCTAGAGTCTTTGTGACTCCCGGAGTGACCCAATTCCCCTAGCACAATGTCTTTGTCTCCTTCTTCATTCATAAGCCGATAGAAGTAATCCTGCCATCTCCGCTTTTACATTATTGTTGTATATATCTTAAATCTGTAATAAGAACTATACAATTTTGTCACCCACATGGAAGAGAACAAAGAGCATATACATATATTTCGGTATCTAAATGGAAGAAGACTAAACCATGAAGACAAGGTTGTGGAAATTAATACAAGCATTATGCTACTAGGCAACACAGCTTGAATGTTTTACCTTAGATGGGCAAACGGTCCAATAGCTCGAAGCATCACTAATCTACACTTGGAACCGAGTAGCATGGGGCAGGTAGAATACCGTGCGAGTAAGCGCCATGTTGCAAAGTTAATCTGCTACTAACTAATCTGCAGCATAATTACAAAAATATTTGAGGAAACCTCGCGTTGGCATACTTCCTTATTCGGTTCTGTGTTGCTGTTTTGCATCTTGATGTGGTAGGTATAGTGAGGTCAGAGGTGGATTGGAGATAGGGTACCAATTCTAGAGTTATGAATATTGGCACTTGATGTTCTCATGTGAACTGATGGTCCTAATCAATTTTGTATTTCTACTATCATACGAAGGCCGTTATGAGGCTTTAATTGCTGGAGAACGCTCATTGACTTGCACCGTTGCAGAAAATCCCTTGACGAATACCAATAACAACAACAACGATAAGAATAATATACCCAGTGTGATCTTACAAGGGGAGTCTGGGGAGGGTAGACTTTACCCCTATCTCGTTTGAGGTGAGGTAGAGAGATTGTTCCCTTGAAAAATACCAATTCTTAAAATTTGTTGGTAGAGGAGAAAGATCACGTGCTTCTTTGATTTGTTTTGAGGTGAAAGTTGAAATGTTAAAAATACAGTTTCAAATATTTACTGATGATATATAACCATACTGTGAATCTTATAGGTGTCCAATTTTCTTTTCTGATGTAACTTCTATTCAGTTTGTTAAATGTCTTTCCCTGCTAGAAGAGTATAGCTCTCTTTATATTGCTAGATACTGAGCCTACTAACTCTGGAATTAAGCTGATATTTGTTTTCATACAAAGGGTGTTGATTTAGCCTTCTTATATAATTGAACCACAGGAATGTCCTCAACTTGGCAAGAGAATAATGAATTGGCAATAACTATAAGAAGCAGAAAGTTACAGGTAATTGCACTTTTGCTGGCCTTTTCTTTTGCCCATAAGTGTCCTTTGATTGTGATAACTTAGTACTCTATAGCCTAATACCTCAGCTATTGGTGTTACATTTACTTTTTAGCGTGTTAAATTGTTCCTTCTTTTATTTCTCGTTACATTTAAAATGGGATTGTCTTACTGGGGATTTAAAACTTAAGATAACCATTTTGAATAGTCTTCTTTTAACTCTACAATTCAAGCCTTTTCTGAGAAGTACATAGTTAAGTCAATTTGCAGTATACAAAGAGTTGTTGTCCAGAGGCACCTCATCTTCTCATTTCGTCATTGCTCATTCCCGTTAGGCCAAAGTGTTTGGCCTTTCTAACAAAAAAGTCAACTCTAGTTGCTTCTCTTGTCCGATCGAAAACTGCAAACTAGTCTTCCTTTTAGAGTTGTTTACAAGCCTGTCAAAAGTTCTTTAAAGATAGTGATTGTTCACGCCTCAAAGCCTAATATCTTTGTTTTTCCAATTTGCAGGGCAATGGCTACGGACCGAGCACAGATGAGGGCGATATGGGGAAGATATATCTGGAGGATTACCGACGCATAGATCCAGTTCCAAGCTCAAAAGCTTCAGTAAGACCTGGACCTATTCAACATGGAACTCCTCTTATGCCTTATGTTCCAAAGCAGCCTCCTTCACCTCCTCCAACTCGCTCGAAACCTGTTGGATTTCCATAAACTTATTAGTATTATTATCTCAGGAGTCAGGACCATTTCTACTCTCTTTCCCAGACTCCACTTGTGGGAATATAGTGGGTGTGTTGTTGTTGTAGAGTCAGGATCATTCCCACGAAATGGCTGTTCTATAAGTTAGAACAATAATGTAGTACATTAATAACTACGAAAAAACCATGTCTTTTTAATTTTTGCGTACTTCTCTTGTATATTTCAATGGTGCCTTGTGTATTACAGCTTCGTACTTGTAATATGCCTCTGGCTGCTACTTTCTTAACAAATTATTGTCACTAGTGAGCTTGCATAATTAATACTCCACCCTGTTTCTTTTAATGTGATTTTAATGTTGTTTTCCTGTGTTCGAAAGCTGACAATAAGAGAAGTAAAGAAATGTTAGTTTAATAAAACAAAACATAAAATAATTTTTGAGCCCACAGGTTGCTTGTGTGTCCTTAAGGAATTTAATTCCCTCACTGTTGCCTAAGGTTATGGATTACTTCCTCCCAGGATAGAACAGAAAAACCATTTTGTAATACTGGCAGTGGAAATTACAGAACTTTATCGAACTCAACAAACGGAGCAAATCACACTCGATACTTTATTTATTTGGAAAATCAATGCAACAATGTACAAAGGAGGAGAAGTTTTTTAGATTTTTCATGTGTAAAAATAAGGCCAAGCCTCTAAATTTATAGACAATGAAAGGGTGAGATGAATATGTGCAATTCAAAAGGTGTTTCTTCCATTTCCCATTCACGAAACCTAACAATCCCCCACATGAATGGGGAATGACAATATGCTTAAAAACATGCAAAAAACTTGTGTGCTTTGCAAGTAAGGATCAATCGCATCTGGATAAGTAGGTTTCCGTTTGAACTTTCCGTAGTGAACATATGTCGGATATACTCGGTCAATCGATAGATTTGATATCTTTGAACCGTCAAGCTTTGGTGTATACCTAGACAACCACAAGTCACACAATCAACCCTTAATCATCTTTGGTTCTCATTGTTCTGTTCGTGTCAGCCACGAACACCGCTTGGTTTCATAAGTGCATAGAGAATTGTCCTTACATAACTCTTCTTGAAGCGACTAACACTTCACACTTACATAAGTGATTCCTAAATATGTTATCCCATAGATACACTATTTGATATACCCCGTATCAAACTTAGAAACCATTAAAAAGCCTTAACGCTTTATCTTTGGTACTAAATATTGTCTCATCACAAGAATGGACCAAAAGAAAATTTTATTTGACAATGTTGAAACGTCATTAATGACTTTGTTTGAGCTCCTTGAACCTAGATCTTGGGATCTCCAGTCTTCTAGGTAGAGTTACTGCCACAATGACTTGTCATCGGCCATAGTTCCATTCCCCTCGATGATCTTAAGCCTTTTGTAAATGGATTCAACACATTATCGCTTGATTTCACATGGTCAATTATGATAATTCTCCTAGAGAGTAGTTGCCTAACGATTTTATATCTTCGCCGTATATGACAAGATTTTTCGTCATACATAATGCTCTCAGCCCTTCGTATCATCGCAATGTATGTATATAGGTGCCAATATTTTGGGCTAAGATAGAATTTCTTCAAGAAATTCCGGAGCCATTCAACTTCTTCACCGTCCTTGTCTAGGGCTATAAACTCAGCCTCCATTGTAGAGCGGTAATGCACACTTGTTTGCACGATTTATAAGACGCTGCTCTTCCAATGATTGTAAAAATATATCCACTTGTGGATTTAGTTTAGGTTGATCCGGTGATGCAATTTGTATCACTCTACCCCTTAATAAGCGCAAGATACTTATTATAGTGCAATGCATAGTCATGAATATATTTTAAATATCCCAAATCTCATTTTATTATCATGACAGTTCAATGCGAACTTCCTTATGTAGTAGACTAATACGTCTCGACTTTCTATTGCATATCAGATTATGGACTACACTTAATGTAGCAATAGTATATTATAACAATAGCTAGAATGGTTAATCTCAGTTGTGGCTACAACCTTTTAATATATAACACATTTCGCAACCACTGCGCCTTTTACTAGCATTTGTATGCTAGTTATTCATATTCTAGAAATAGAATACATGTCTATACAATATGCAAATTATAACACCTTCATTCATGAAGCAAATCCAACTTGTTATGAATTTTTATCATTTTCACCGGTTGGTTCACCTTATTATAGACCAACGTATTAATACATTCGTTCATGAATGGTCATGTTTATACAAAACATACAAATGCACTTTTCATAAAAAGTCACAGCCTTCCAGATGACACCATTTCATAAAAGAGCTAAACATTATAAATATTCAAGAAAGAACAAATCATTTCTGGAAAGGCACGTAAACATCTTTCGAATTTGTAGTTTCATCACTAGTCATTACTAAAACTGAACAAGTAATGAATTCACCGACTATCATATTAATATCCACTAAGGATTGGTGGGGTTTAAAAATTATATCATTTCGACATTACGCCTAACTGTCACAACCCAAAATCCTAACCTGTCGTAATGGCGCCTATCGTGGTAATATGCAAGCCGACATTTAAAAATATTGATAACACTTTTAATAGAAAATGAATTTAAGCAGTTTAAACAATAAAAGAATTCATAAACGGGATAGAAACCCAAAAATACAACGCGGAAATTCCCAACATTGGGGTGTCACTGAGTACATGAGTATCTATACATCACAAGTCCGGAAAATACTGTCTATGATAATCTGAAACTAAATACAATAAGTGGAAAGATAGGGAAGGGGAAACAAGGTCTGCGAACGCCAAGCAACTACCTCGATAGTCTCCGAGAAACCGAACTCCACAACTCTGCAACCGCCGTGACCGGGTGCACCTGGGTCAGCACATAAGGTGCAGGGTGTAGCGTGAGTACAAACAACTCAGTAAGTAGCAAGACTAAATAAAGAATTGAAAGTAGTAACGAGCTTCACATTTATAGTTCAATTACAGTGATTTTAACATAGGAAGGTAGGCATGCTTTCAAGTTCGATAAATCAGGACGAAATAATTACTTCATGACAAGTTAAAGTGAAACAGAGTGTAGTATCTTTCAGAAAATTTCAAGACAGTGATGCATGATAGCTAAATGCAATAGTAATGAAATCAAATGCATCTTCTCAGGGCCACAGTCTTTCAGCCCTCCTTTTCACTTAGCATTCGGCACTCGTACTCAGTAGATACCTGCGCTCACTGGGGGTGTGTACAGACTCCTGAGGGGCTCCTTCAGCCCAAGCGCTACACTAAGCCAATTATGGCATAAATGAATGAAACTCGCTGCGGCGTGCAACCCGATCCCNTAATTTGTGCTTTACAGTTGTTATGTGACTTGCCGGGGTAATTGGTTCGGGTCCGGATCCGGATCCGATGAGGTTTCGGAATGAATTGAAACACTTAGTCTCAAAGATGAAAGCTTAAGTTGAAAAGGTTGACCGGATGATTGACTTGTGTTTAAATAACCCCGGAATAGAGTTTTGATGATTCCAACAACTCCGTATGGTGATTTTGGACTTAGGAGCGTGTCCTAAAAATTATTTGGAAGTCCGTAGTTAAATTAGGCTTGAAATGGCTAAAATAGAAATTTAAGTTGGAAGTTTGACCGGGGAGTTGACTTTTTGATATCGGGGTCGGAATCCGATTCTGAAAATTTGAATAGGTTCGTTATGGCATTTATGACTTGTGTGCAAAATTGAGGTCAATCGGACTTGATTTGCTAGGTTTCGGTATCAAATGTAGAATGTCCCGACGTCGTTTATTCAAGATTAAGTGGTATCATATTAATAAAATGATCTCCAAATTCAGTTTTGATTGAGGCATTAGATCAGTATTGAAATTTCGGAGTTATAGCAAATAGAATCGTCGAATTCAGACATCGTATGAGAGAGTTATGCCCATATCCGTGTCGGGAAATATTTCCCCGTCAGTGTCCAGGGTAGCGTGGGGCACTATCCCTGGCGCTGGTACTTCTGGAGTTCTGGAAACAGCGCGACAGGCAGCGCCCCACGCCACCTGTGGCGCCCGAACATTAAAATCCCTATAAACGGGAGGTTTTTGCCATTTTTGACAAAAACAGAGTTGGGGAGCTCGGTTTGGGCGATTTTCAGAGGTAAGTTTCACCACACAACTTGGGGTAAGTGTTCTTGACTCCCTTGTGATTATATTCCATGAATTAATCTTTATTTTGACGTTAGATTATTGATTTTTCAAGAGAAATCTGAGAAATTTTCTACAATTCCATAAAATGAATTTTCGAGATTTGAACATCGATTCGGAGTCGAATTTGAGTAAAATTAGTATAATTGGACTCGTGGTTGAATGGACGTTCATATTTTATAATTTTTTTGGGTTTCGATACGTGGACCCCACTGTTGACTTTTCAATTAATTTCGAATTTTTATTTTAAAATTTAGCATTTTCATATGGAATTGCTTCATATACCTCGTGTTGATTGTATCAAATTTTTTTGACTAAGATTTGAGGTGTTCGGAGGCCGAATCGCGAGGAAAAGTCTTATTGGAATAAAGAATTGCTTGGATTGAGGTAAGTAGCAGTTCTAAATTTGGTCCTGAGTATATGAAACCCCGAATTTTGTGATATGTGATTGGTTTTGAGGCGGCACACATGCTGGGTGACGGGTGTGTGGGCATGTACCATAGGAATAGTGACTTGGTCAATTCTATGGAACTATATAGTTGAATAATCTGTTGATATCCGTACATTTTTCACGTATTAGAGAAATCAAACTATAAATCATGTTTAAGCCATGTGTTGACACTGTAGGGACCCACAGAGGCCGTGTACATGTTGAATTATCTGCTAAATTGCTATTTTGTACTCAGTCACAGTTTTACTGGCACATTACATCTCAGTTTCTATTGTTCATTATTGATGCATCATATCATTTCTGTTTGGGCTGCTTATCATGATTTCTGAGAGCCCGAGAGACTGGAGAGGTTGACGACTGAGTGAGGCCAAGGGCCTGATTGTGAGGATATTTATGGGATCGGGTTGCACACCGTAGCATGTTTCATTGTTATATTCCATGATTGGCTTGTTATAGTGCTTGGGCTGAAGGAGCCCCTCCGGAGTCTGTACACACCCCTAGTGAGCGCGGGTACTTACTGAGTGCTAGTGCCGAGTGCCGAGTAATTGAGAGGAATGCGTGACTGTGAGGAAATAGTGATTGTGAGGTTGGAGTGAATGGGAGAACTGAGTGATTGTTGATCTGAGAGGATGCGTTAATTTTATTTTTGTTTCACTTCAGCTGTCATATATCACTGTT